TACCGGTATGTCACAGAGCTGGCTGCCGCAAGAACCCAAATAAACTGACCATCCGCCAGATAGTCCAAAACTTCCTCCTCCGACAAAGGGGCAAAGAAACGGGTTTCCAGAGATCGATGGGAAAAGGGAGAAAAACAGCGGATCTGACGAGGAGAGGCAACTGCAACGTCTTGGAACAAGGTCCGTTCACTCGAGTTCTTGCGGTATCATACCACCGGTAGCGGTAAGGCTACCGGTAGAGGGACTTGAGTAAGGCTGGAGAGATGGCGGGAGGCGAATAAATTACCCGCATGGAAAATGGCGATGCTTCACACTCGTGATCCGTCCGTCTTTGGCCCGTTCGTTGTCACCGTCAACCCACCATCACATCATCCGAGTGTTCCAGCGATTCCCAGATCTCCATTCCATTTCGCCGCATAAAGCATGGCAATTACCGGTATGTGCCCATGCGATGCACCAATACCAGTCGAGAACTTGGGGCCAAGGGACGGAAAACGAGTGCGAGACCCACGTCGGGCGCAACCGTGCCCTATCAGCGTATCGGGCCCGACAAATTCCAGATCAAGTAAGGTGTGACACCACCCCCACAGACACCCTGTCCCAATCACGGCGCGAAACGAAGCACAGCCAACTTCAAAAATAAAGTGGATGCTTTCAAGGTCAGCATCATAGTCACCGAGTCCAGATCTCCGGGCGGGTGGCCAATACTACTCCTTATCATTCACACCCTACAAATACCAACTCTCCCCGACCCGCTCCAACCTCCTTCATTATCAATCGACCAAAGTCCCAAGCGCATTCTTCAAGAGTTCTCTTAGGCCCACACTCAGCTTACTTCCTTCTCACTCCACAAAACCCCACACAACCAAGCTTAACAACTCCCTCCAAAACTACAACTCACACTTCCTTCAACCTCACGGATTGATCACGGATCACTCACAGACCCTCACTCCTCCAACATGACCGGAATTCTCAACTTCCCTTCCCCGCCATCCAGTCCTCCAGACAGCCGTTCATTAACCAGCGGCGGCGGAAGACGGCGCAAGTACTCCAGCGCCCGCGTGATACCCTCTCTCCAGCGACACGAAACGATGTTATTTGGCTCCCTCAAGCCCGTCGCCTGCCAGTCGCAGGAGAACGCGCCAATGTACTTTTACGAGGATGAGGACATGGACGTGGACGCGGCTCTAGCAAGCCTTAGCAGCAGCATGAACTCGTCGCAGGGGAGCATCGCATTCTCGGAGGTTTAAAGCGTTCCTCTCCTCCCCGGAGACCGTACGCCTTTCCATGGTGGATGAATCTGGATTTCGCGTTAATGGTTCCGGTCGGGAATGGGAAAGCCCCCCGCCTTTTTGGCGGGGGGCCTGGGAATACGACAATCACTACCGACAAAACTACGAAGGTGGCGCCGGTCGAATTACCATCGCTTCAAATATCACCGACAATCGATTGTTCTCCTCCGCTATCCTTTAGTGCGAGAGCAAGAAACGACAATCACAACCCCTCACCCGCGTGGCGAGCACTTCTCTCTCTCTCACACACACTCTCTCACACATCACTACATGCCCGGGTTTGCGCGCGCCACCTCTCCCCGCCACCTTAACCACCGACCAAGCACCTTATTCCCTCACCTTTCAATCCACCCGCACTCGATTATCTTTTTTCTCTCAAACATGCATAGCAGGGTGTAAATGGCTCATATCATGTACTATACTTTTTTTTTCCCCTCAAACTCTGTATCGCATTCATACCCGGTATGCATCAAGTTCCCCCCCTTTTTATTTTTATTTTTATATATATATATCCCTTTTGTTTAAGATGGATGGATGGATGGATGGGCAATCTAGATGGGGCTTTCTTGTCGGATATCAAACCCGTTTTCCGTTTTTTTCTCTCCCCTTACTGTATTTCATCACATCATATCTGTTTGCACGGCGTGAAGTGGGGTGGGTTGGTTGGGCTTGTACGAGTAGGAGTTACCGTATTCTGTTTTTTTGTTTTTTTTCATGTTTCCTCTCTCTTTTCCATTCTTTTTCCTATTTTCCCCTATTTATTCGGGTGGGATCTTTCCTTTTACCCCTTTCGATTTGGAATCCTGTTAGAATTTGTTACTCTTTGCTATCAATATTACCTGCAATAACCTATATCTCAATCTTGACAATCCAGTTGTACCGTACGATCCGATACGAATACAACGTGACCGCAAAAATATTTTTCCCCCACCGAAAAGAAGAATCTTCCGGGAGCTCCTCCCACCCGTACCATAAATTACCATAAGTTATCCCAACTGGTCAGCCGCCCCCATTCGTGGGACGTGACTTGTTACCCGCCCTCTGTCTCACCCCTTGTCGTTGCCCCTGCCAACGTCGCGCATGACTCACACACAGGTCATCGAGACCAACGGTGGGTGGGGTGGAAGGGAAGGCTGTGCAAAAGTGTCTTTCCTTTTTTTTTCTCCATTCGAGTGATGCCGGTTACCGATACTCGTACGGATGCGTTTGTGCTAGGTAGTACGGCGATGACTATCGGATTAATTATTCTTCCGCGTGATTTGTGTGGTGGGGGAGAGGGAGAGGGCGATGAAGAGGGCGATGAGCACCGGATCAATTTAGGTCGAGGCCTGTGACGATGCGAAGCGATGGAAGCGGTACGGTACGGTACTGTACGGTGAGCGAATCATCATACCCCCTATTGTACAAACATCCGACTTCTCTTCCGGCGCAGTACCGTATCGTGTTATACGGGTGATGATCAGATGTCAGGTCGGGTCTGCCAGCAAATGCTACAGTACCGGTACAGCGCTCGTACAACGCAGCGCAGTCAGGCGCGGTCCGGACCGTCTCTCTCGCAAATTCGTCACCGCGCTCGAACGGATACAATTGAACGGGAAAAAAAGGTTTCAAGCATCCCATAATAATCCGTATATCCCTTCCTTTCCGTTCCCTGAGGTGGGGGGGAAGGAAAGAAAGAAAAGAAGAAAAAAAAAAGGAACCCCCCGAAGTCCTGACTCACTAACTCCGGCGCAACGCTTCACAAAGTCCCAAGTCTCACTCACACACGTGTGAGGGGTTTTCCGGGGGGCGATGCAACTGAAGTTAGACTGCCATACCGTAATCTCGCCTTGCGCTCGGAAATAAGTTGATGCGACGACCGACCAGCCGTGAATTACTCGAGTACGGTACTGTGGCTTTTTTTCCACGGCTGGGTTCTTCTGACATTACCGTGTCATAGTTCCGGCACGACACAGTCTTCAGGGGGGGGGGGGGAGCTGTACCTGTACCTGTACCTGTACCGCACTCAGGTACGGTAACAATGCGAAATTCGAAAAAAGGGGGAAAAGGGATAAGGGGAAAGGAGGTTGTTGTTTCATGGCTGCGCTAAGGTTGTTGGTATCATACGCGACTTGTACGCCACGGTACCTGATCCGCGGTGGTACAATCTCGTGTTACATTGGCGGTGTCCGGGGGGGAAACGTTCGGTTGGTTGGTTGAGTTAAGCTTATTGGGGGATGCAGGGCAGGGCAGGGCAGGGCGGGGGTGGGGTGGGGTGCAGATGGTATGATATGATACTCGTAACTCGTACTAGTATAGCTTGCTGGTGAGAGGAGGGGAGCACGGTTTCTGTGGGGAGGAGGTGGAGGGTGGAGACCTATGATAGAACTGGTTCTCTCCTGGGAGGTATCATAGGGAGCGGGTTGATATCACTTGGGGCTCATGGAGTACCGGTACTCGTAGTGTGTAAGCGCTTTGTGGGCTCCTGGACACCGGTGTGCTCTGCTCCTGTTGTATTTAGAATACGGTATGATACGTCGCTATCGTCAGTGGGGTTGCCGTATTGATGTCTCTTATCATACTACCGGTACGATATCACACCCTAAACATCGCCTAACTTATGATACTACCCATTAGCCTCCCTTCCCTCCCTCCACCCCCTCCGCCCTCTAATTCCTAGTCCTAACCCTTGACTCCCTACTATACGATCGTTATGAAAAACGGAAATGGTCCAAACATCTAAACAGGAGTACCCCATCGTGTCGAATCGACAGGCCTCCCAAGCCCACCCCTGACCGCAAGGATGCATGATTTGACAACAACTTGTCTCCAACGCACACTCCCCCCAGCACTAACGCCTATAATACCCTACCTGTCCATTTCAGCCCATTCCGGCAACTGCAAGCTCAAGATCTGCGCGCGTGATGCTTTCGTGCACTGCTGGCATACTGTTGCCTGAGGTCAACGTTGACCTTGGATACGGTAGTGCGCTGGACCATCGTTGGCTGCGGGGTGGCTCTATCAACGGGTCCATCTCCGTGAGAGCCTTGCTGTGGCGACTGAGAGCCTTCTTACGAGGAGAGCGGGCAAGATGTTTAAATGGGTATGGAGATGCGTAGATGTGGCATCTGTATGCCGGCAAAAATGTGACGAGGTGAGGGCAACAGGGGGCTGACAGGCGCTGGTGCGCTACCCGTAGCCATTTGCTGGAAAAAAGTGCCCACCAGCTTCCAGAAGTTACCTGCATGGGAGAACTTGATTCTTCTGGCTGCCGCCCATGATGCTCTTCGCCGCGTACAAGGTAGAGGGGTGCTTTCCTTTTTTTTTTCGGTCAGCCCTAGGACATTACATCACGGATGACTACGTGGGCGAGTGACAGAACGTGATTAAAAGTTGCATCTGCATACGGCAAGATAAGAGAAAACCGGGCTAGGGTTGATTCACTAACTAGCAACAGAGTACGGTGATGTGCGTTTTCGCACAACCCGCCCACCAAGGTTTGATTCCTTGGCTAGAAGGTGCTTCTTAGAGAAGATATCCGCGAAGGTCATGTGAAATGAATCTCATCGCCATCACAACGAGTGAAATAGAAAACAGAAAAGATTATGTATCTCACGCGTCACCGGTGCCACTCCTCTTTGGGGGTCCACCGCTTCCGCGGCCTCTGCCACTTCTGAAACCACCCCCACCACCTCCGCCCCTGCCCCCACCTCCACTGTTTCTCCTACCCTTCTGCTGCGAGTCACCCGCCGGCGCCGTAGGCACACCCGCCATAGCCATAGCAACCTGGGCTGCGGCTGATACAGCGCCGCCTCGCGATGGTCCTCCTCCACCCCTTCGTTGCCGTCCATTACCCTTCGGGGCTGTAGGCACGCCGCTTCGGTCGGGCCCACCGATGCTTGCTGCAGGACCTGTCGGCGGTGCCAATCCCGCTGCGGAGCTTTCTCTTTTGAGTAGGCCTGGTGCTGCTGGTGGCTCATTAATTGATGTCGGCACCGGAGGCGTGGATGTGTTTGAAGGTAACTTTTTTAGGATAGCTACTGGTGCCACTGGCGGTGATGCGGGACCAGGTGTGGTGGGTGAATTAGAAGCAATACTATCTTCGCGCTCCAGGCGCCGGCCACCAGAACCACGCCCACCACGCCGTCTCGGGCGCGCGGGTGATTGCGGTTCCGGATTGATAGGTGTTGGAGGTGTCACGGTAGCTGTTGGGGTACCATCGGTGGTGCTGGTAGTTGTTTCGATTGTGGAAGGCGCTCTTGCCGAGTTACGGGAACGCCTTGTGGGGGGAGTGATTCCGAGGTCGCGTTCAAGGATTGCTGCAACACTGGAAACACCCCCTCTATCTCTGCGGCGTTCACGACCCTTTTCTTTTTCCTGGGATTGCCCTTTCTCTGACCTTTCTCTGTTGCCAGCGAGGTTGCTCCCTCGCCTCGTCAGCGTTTCCGGTTGGCCTGAGTTTTGTCTGGAGAGGCTGCCAGTCAATCCCGAATTTTGTCTGGATAGGGTACCCGAAATGCCGGAATTCTGTCGCGATAAGATCGTAGTGTTGGTGTTCTGTCGAGACAACGGGCCTCCGATGGAGTTCTCACGCTTCAAGATGGTAGCAGCTTCCGTATCAATGGCCTGGGCTGCCTGTTTAATGGCCCATTCTTCCTTTTCATCAATACGAGGTTCCCTCTCCTTGCCCTTGGCACGAGCTTTCTCGAGTCTTCGTTTTTCACGTTTTGTAGACGACGATTCCTTATTTGGCTTCTCAGTTTTGAGGCTTGTTTTGCTCGAACTAGATTTATCGGAACTTCCATTCTTGTGCGTCCGGATATACTCGATCAGCGGGGTTGTCTTTGGTTTGTCAACCTTCTCAACCAAGGGCAAGGGAACTGATAATGGATCGTTCGCTGGTACGGTGGCTGGTGTACTAACCACTTCACCGGGGTGGATATTGGCAGGCGTGTGGGTAGTAGCTCCATCGGCTGTGGGGGCAGGCGTAGAAATAGCTTTTAATGATGTCACAAATGCTATGAAATCGGGGTCGGATTCGATAGTGCCGGCGCGGGCATCGACACGTCCCGATTTCTTGGGAGATTTCTGGAATGGGGAGTATTCCATTTGAGGGTTGGTAGTGTTACCCTTGCTATCGGTAAAAGGGCCATGCAAGCGCAGTCCCTCACTAAGAGCCGTGATCTGCAGAGGGTTCTTGAACTTGATGGCACATCGGGAATCTTTGGGTGCTTTTGTACGTCTAAATCGTGGAAGAGTGAGTCCGGTGCATGGAAGAAAACGGGTGGGAGGGGGGGCATACTCCTCGGGTATCTTTCCTTGAACCCAAGAAACACATTCCACAGTCTCCTCGTTTATGTATTCGGCCATTGGACTTTTGAATTCATCCTCTTTTATCAAACTTGGGAGATGACGAACAACAACTTTGAGACGAATTGTGGCGGGATTGTTACCGGAGCTGGCCTTAAGGAGGGGCCCACCACCACGGGGTTTCGCTTTCGCAATGGTAGGCGAAGGGGAGGCCATTTCGGTTCCCGGGGTAAAGCTAGGTGGAACTCTGGAGAAAGGAGAGAAGGAGGCACCGACCGCGGATGGAAGGGAGAGGGAGAGGAGGTGATGAAAGGAGGTGATATGTAGAGTGGGCTACGTACGCTCTCGCTCTCGCAGTGGTGAGAGCAAAAAGTAGCTGTGGCGGATGGTTTGTCGGGGTGTTTTCTGCGAATGCAATGCTTATCTAATCCGGTAACCTGAGAAGGTTAGTCCATCATACCCCATTCTTCGGGACTCCCAAACCCAATGAAGGAGTTTTGTGTGTGGCGTTAAGAGTGTGCTCACTGCGTGCATGCAACGGTGGCGAGAACGTCCCTTACCATACAAGTACCGGTAGGGGCTTGGCGATAGAAGAAATGGATAGACTATCCCCCAGGATATTCCATACTATGATACAAATGCACGAGTCCAGCCAACCACTAACGGTAGGGTTACCAATTTTTTTCCATACCTACCGCTCAACACTGACAGCGAGGAAACGAAGTGAGCAGACATGGCTGCAATGTGGAAGTACCATACAAATTGCCTGTCTTGGCAGCGTTTTCAAGGCAGACACCCAGAACTCTTGAAGTTGGCAAATTGCATTGCCTGGCGAATCTCTGAATTGGGAATAGCCAGGCATACCATGATACAGGTCCCATTTCCTCTTGTGAAATTCTTCGAGCAACCGATTGGGACAGGTCTATTGTTTTTATTTTTACCTAAGGTCATGCGGAAGGTCGTTGTTGTATCATAGTTGGTGTCGGAATTTGGATTCGCATCCCTATCAAACAGCTCACCGCAACATGATCTCAGTCGTTGATTCCAAACATATTTGTCAAGTGAAAAAAACAAGACGAGATTGATTGGATGTTTTGCAAAGGGATTCTCTATAAAGGAGTTAGAGAAATTACCTTTCATAGCTTTTCTCTTCTGAATATTGATAGGTCAGTGTGCCCGTGTTTTCAAAGAACTTTGGGCGGGGAACAGGTTTTGGTTGGCCTACACCATAATAAGTTCCGGGGCTGTATTAATTGTGGTAGAATGCAAGTATAGTATTATAATAGATAACATGGATACTAGGGAGCCGGCTACACTCATTATTGGGTGTTGGTGTACGGTACAAAGAGGGGAGTTCCTCGCTTCTCGAACGAGGGGAACTCACTTTTAGGGGCGAAATTCGTGATCAATCCTAACTCTAGCTTGTTCAGGGAATAAGCAGCCGGTAATATGCGGCCAGGCGTCAGCTATCGTACGGCAAAATTGGTCGACGGGCCTTCGTGCCGGATGAGAGAGATCAGTGGCGAGAGAGTGTGTGACTTGTGTGGCGCTCTTTCCCGCGGCTCCGGCTCGCTTCTAGCTGTGATCTCAGCTGTGCTCTGTGGACTCTCCTTCACGCCTGATTTCGTTACCACAGTTACCAACGCTACATCACCGGTATAACACAAACAAACCTCTCTTCTACGGTATCCTTGCCCAGCTGTGCGAGTTTCAGAAAATCCCCGGCCCCACCGCTGCCTTGACCCTGCCAGTACGGTACGGTAGCCATATTCCAGATTAGGTCCTGGTCCTCTTATCTATCCCCTTATCTTGTCAGCATTCAGATCTAATCTAAGATTCATCTCCCATATTTCCCTGCCATCAATACCCAAACCAAACACCCCACCACCCTCACCTAGAGCTATCGCCCTTCCTCTTTCCACCTCTACATAACGATACTGATACCCTAATTAGCAACCATATCCCTCAAACAGCTTCTACCGCCTTTTGTCTCATTCCCAGCCGCTCCTACCGCGCCTCCGTCAAGTTCCCCCCTCCCTGAAGGGTCATCGCCATCGTTGTCGTGTTCCGCTTCTGCATCCGACAAACTCTCACCCCCGAATAATCCAACCCCTTTGGGCACTACATCATCACTTTCCACTACAAGTATGAGCGTTGGCGAGAAGGGTGGAGGAGCCACAATGGCTACCGGTGGAGGTCCGGATGAGTGGCTGGAGATGGCCAAGAAATGTAAATACCTGAGCGAAGGTGATATGAAGAGACTTTGCGAGCTTGTGAAGGAATGCTTGATGGAGGGTTTGTAATATCCTTACCCTCCCTTTTTCCTGCTACTCTCACCCTCCCCTCCTTCTGAACCTTCGCCGTCTATGACGATGTCATGTAAGTAGTTTTTCAAGGAATAAAGGGCAAAAACTGAGTTAAGACTTCCTCTTGGTGCGCGAGCAGAATCAAACATACAACCGGTATCTACGCCCGTCACCGTTTGTGGTGACATTCACGGCCAATTCTATGACCTGATGGAGTTATTTCAAGTCGGCGGAGGTCTCCCGGATAAGGTGAACTATGTCTTCCTTGGCGATTTTGTCGATAGAGGTTACTTTTCCCTGGAGACATTCACATTGTTGATGTGCTTGAAAGCCAAGTTTGTTACACTTTTCCCCCTTTTTTCCAAAAAAAAAAGAAAGAAAAACATACATTCCGGATACCAGGTCTCGTCCGACAAGCGGCAGCCACTGATCACTATTCACCACCAGGTATCCAGATCGAATAACCCTAGTCCGCGGAAACCATGAGTCTCGGCAGATAACTCAAGTTTACGGGTTTTACGAAGAATGCCAGACAAAGTACGGGAATGCCTCTGTATGGAAATCTTGCTGCCAAGTTTTTGACTTCCTCGCCCTTGCCGCTATTATCGATGGTAGCGTTCTTTGTGTGCACGGGGGCCTGAGCCCCGAAATTCGAACCTTGGACCAAATTAGGGTTGTGGCAAGAGCGCAGGAGATTCCACATGAGGGTGCCTTTTGCGATCTGGTTTGGAGTGATCCGGAAGGTATGTTTGGTTGGCCCAATGAAGGAGGATTGACTGATCGTGGCTAAACAGACGTGGAGACCTGGGCGGTATCACCCAGAGGCGCTGGATGGCTATTTGGAGATAAAGTAGCAACGGAGGTAGATATAGCCACCTCTGATCCCTCCTGCTAGCTAACGCTTCTAGTTTAATCACGTCAACGGCCTTACCTTAATAGCCAGGGCTCATCAACTTGTGAACGAAGGATACAAGGCAAGAGCCACCCTAGAAGATCCCCTCGCCCCCACGAGCTAACCCTCTCTTCCAGTACCACTTCAAAAACAAAGACGTTGTAACAGTATGGTCAGCGCCAAACTACTGCTACCGTTGCGGCAATGTAGCAAGCATCATGAAACTGGAACCAGATCTAAACCCCAACTTCACCATATTCAGTGCGGTCCCCGATGACCAAAGAGTCGTGCCGGCCGGGAGAGGTGGACGTGGCGAATACTTTCTGTAACGAATTATAGCACTGGGATCTAACGAAACGGACATAGATGCGAAACGGAAGGGGAGGCTTGGGCAGGCGGTACGCTGGGCTTGGAGGATCAATATGGAGGGAGTATTGCATAATGTGCTTTTTTCGGCAAGCTTGTTTTTACTTCTGGTTACTTTTCTTCCTTCCTCATCACATATGTCACAAATTTGGCGGGTGGGATTGGGGAGCGGTTGAAGGTGTGGAAGGACGAATGGACAAATGAGGTTCTAAAAAAAAAAAGGGGGGGGGGGTTGCAGAATATCGTTGCTATCACACTTTGGATGGCTTGAATTCGGATCTCGCCTTTTTCTACTTTTTTCTGTCGCGTATTGTATGTGTTGCGAGTGAGGAGTTGTGATTACTATGTCGCTTTTTTTGTGAATGGCTTGGGCGAGGCGATGTCCGGGACGGATGAAGCTATGGCATTGCTGTTTGGCGGGAGATGATGGGAATGTTTGTTTGCGGTGGTATCGTGTTGGGGGAGCGGATCGTAGGGGTTGAGGCTGCGTTTGGGGTGTTTGTGTTGCCGGGTGGGTTAGGCTGCTGCATAGGCTAAGCGCCTAGCGGAGCCACGCGGTATCATACCGTATATGGCGGCGGCACTCGTGCCATCGGCTATATCATACTGTAGTAAATCCGCCGTATCATACCTAGCACTAGTCCCGCCGACCCTTTATCATTCTCCGGGACCTCGTACTAACGCCAGTGGACAGGCTGATCGGGCTGGTTCCGCAACACCGGAAATCACTCGCGAGAATTCATAATGTTACGGTTGGAACGGTCCGAGGGCCCGTTTGGCACGGGTTTGGGAGCTCTTGGGTGTTATCCGCGACCTATTCAGGTTTTCTGTGGCCGTATAATGTAATCGCAGATTTGGCGACTCTGGGGTGTGGGGATTTTTCTAGTTGTGCTTGTGCTGAATGGAAGAGCCTATGGAGAGCGCTGTACAGTACTGTGCTGGTGCGTTATGATGCCTGGCTTCTTGTTGTAGGGTGTTCGACTGCCTTGGAAGCAGCGGGCTTGGTCGTTGGGCCGGGTGAGTAACCGGCATCAAGTGTGATAGATCTGGTCATTTAGTGCCGTTCAAGGCTTTGTTCTGGGGCGATGGGGCTGCTCTCGATATGGGGCTCTGTAGGAAATGTCTGGTTTGATTGCCGTGGGGGGGGGGGGGGGGGAGGGAAATGGTAGGGCTAGCGATTTAATGCTCCGATGCCTTACTGGCGGTTTGAGTGGGGGCAGTGTTAATACGTGAGATTGGGTCACAGCCTTACGCCCGCGGGGTGGGATTATTCTCTGGGAGTTTTTAATGCGGTTTTATTGGTGGAATATCACATAAGGGTAGATCGTGAATTCATGGTACAAGTATGATACTGTACGCTGCAGGGATTACAGGTTAGATATCCCATAGTCTGTTGAAAAAGTGGCCCACTTTTGGCGTTCCGGAGAGTAGGGGTGTTCACGCACTAGCGCGATGAGAATTGCTACTTGTACAATACGGTAAATATTGCTTCTGGAACCTTACCCTCACATGTTACAGTATCCAAAACCGCATTCTCTTTGGAGAGTGGGTCGTGTTCAGTGCCTACCTAGCTTTGCTCACTGGGTTAACCTAGATATATATGAACTAGGGTTTAGATCTCAGGTATCAATCAACAGGCCCAACTGGTATAGATACGATGCCAGGCAAAACGGTTTAGTGGGCTTCGTAAGGATCCCGTTTTGGTAGGTGCCCTTCTTGGAGTGGCCCACTGCAATCTATGGGATAGCAATGGATCAGTACGGTACAAGTACAGTACGGCACTTGTGAGATGTGCACGATATGATACGCTAAACTTCCAGCAAAGCAGCACAACCGAACACCGCAGAGCAAGAATTGAAAATTCTTAATTACTGGTTATCGGTTTTTTCCCTTTCGCCTTCCTCATCCCAAAGCCAATTGCGCCAGAGTGCAAGACCCTTGGTTGGAACACATGCGTTCCCTGTTCCAAAATTGCCTTCGCGGGGGAGGATGTCTACCCCTGCTCTGTACGGTATGATACCATGAATTCATGATCTACCCTTATCTTATACCATCGTACCGATACCCCTACTATAGAATAACTCGCGAGCCCTACCTGCAGTCCAGAATTTAGGTACGAGTAACTGACGTCTGGTTTACTGCAGGCGCGGATTCCATTTGGAGAGTTGGACCAGGTTAACTTACGTCAAGGCTAACTACTTAAGAATCGCATCATGGGAACTGCTAGCTCACTCTCATTGGAACCTGCCGTGGGCAGAAAATGTCTTGTCCTATCAGGGCAGCCTTCCATTATCGGTATCTAGTCGGGACCCTCACTTTGCCCCGGGATGAGCCGCATGCGGGAACCTATGATATATTCGGGAGGGGGTGCCATATCTGTGGACTCTAAGCCGCCTATGGGACAGCACCGGCCCACAGGACCAAAGACTTGCCCTGCAGATCGCCTCCAGCGCCGTCAACCCAAGTCCTAGGTGCCGAGTATACTGAACCACCGAATGGGGAATCTGAACGGTAGGTTAAGACCCGGGACCGGCATTTCACCGGGCATACTCGCCTTAGCTCGTTATCGCGCAGAAGGCTAGGGGGCCTGAAACACGGTTCTCCTGAAAGGCTGGATGGTGAGTGCGGGGTAGATCGTATCCCATGGACGTTGAAGAAAGATACCGTAGAATTTCGTAGCTAGGCGCTAAGCCTGTCCTGGAATTATGGTGCCTTTTGTGGGGTTCTTGTCGAGAAACACTTAACGAAAAGCGGTGGGTCATGTGGACAGCTGGAAAACTCTGCCAGAATCCTGCTTTGATGCGCCTGGCGGTGGACTCTCCGTCTAGGCCGACCGTTCGATTATGGTCCTGGATGGTAGACCGGAGTAAACGAGAGAGCGCCTGCCGTGTGGTTGGTGTGGTGGGTCGTTTTTTTCTTCGGTACCGTACCTTACTGGTAGGTTAGTCTACAATACTGTACAGCGTGTTTAGCGAGGATTTAGCGAGCGTGTTTTTAGGTTGGCCTCCGAAGGGATTGCGTCAGGCTGAGAGCCCTGAAGGGGTTAGGCCTGACCATAAAGAGTTAGGCTATGGCGCCTCATTACTCGAGTAGGATTCGGGACAAAGCTAGGGTAAAAATCTTATTTGGACTTATCGCTACCTGTACTGTACCATGCGAGCGCCTTCGGGCTCCCACCACTCAATTCGGCGGGGCTAACCTGCATTACAATCCCTGTCTTGTTCCTGATTTCTTTTTCTTTGGTGGATGTGGGGTGTGTTGTTGGGTCTTGGTGTATGAGTGGTAACCTACTGGTGGTTTATGTAGCATAGGGAATCAGTCATGTATTATCACTCAAAAGTTTTGTTTGGTTAATCGCTGGATTTGGAGGTTTCTCGATGATTTCCGATTCTTTCATTGTTAGCTTTTCTTTTTGTTTTTGACCCTGTTTGTTGGGGGTGGTGCTCCTGGCGGATGCGTGGGTGGGACTGAATCTGCGAAATGTGAAGTCTTGATCATCGTGGAGTGGAACTCGAGCCCTCGGCGGGATCGAAAGGGTTTGGGTTGGGGAATTGGCTTGGGTTCCTTTTGTATACTGTCCGGAAACCTGAGCTGGGAAGATAGTTAGTGGCCGTTGAAGGAAGTGTGCTAATGGCCTACTGGCCTAACTCTGAAGAACGGTTTTGAATGTCGAGATTCGCAGTTGGGGAATTTGGGGGTGATTTTTTTGATTTTTTTTGAAGAGGGATGTGATTGATAGAGATAAATGTAAAGATACCCGTTATGGAACCAACCAGTATTTCCGCTACTATATTTCTGGGTGGATCTAAGGGTGCGCTGGATGGTGGCTAACCATATCGATGTCGGATCTGTGGGATCAGGCGGAGCAAGAACCTCCCCGTGTAGCGTCTTTGAGAATATCTGCCATTTTCACTATAGAGGTCCCTCCGGTCGGGAATAGGGGTGGAATACATTAGAGAAATGAACCGAACTTGAAGGAGAATTTTGATCAACCATTGATAAGCAAGTGAGTACCGAGTGAGGCACTGTGATTTCTCTTTAGATCTGGCGAGTCTTCAAAAGAAATTTCCGGAATACACTCTGGGTCATAGAGGGGGGGGGGAGGGGGCGACTAAGAGGAGTAAAGCATCCGCAAATTGTCTGAGAATGGTGTGCATGAGACCGTAATAGAAAAGGGATAATCAACGTAACCGATCCGTGCAGTACTGTTCCCCTAGCGAGAACCCAATACATACAGTTATCGTCTTCCAGGTTTTCAGGGAATGTACAGCAACTTCAGTTCATTTTTTAACCATAATGTCGACAATACCTATATTTTTATGGGAAGGGTTACAAAAGGGGGGAATTTCAATTGCGAGCGGGGTCTCATCATCGGCACCTGTATTAGATGCGATAGAGTAGAGTGCTGCACTAGCACACCTTCTCTAAAGCGCGCCCAATAGGGTAGTTTGCCACCTTTACAAAGAGCGGTGAGAACTGGCCCGGGAGCGTTTCGTGGGAACAATTCTCATAAGAAACGACTTTCCGATTGCCGATATAGCTGAAATCACCGGATAGAGATCTGAACCGTTCTGGCGTCCGCTCGTGTGATGAATTGTCTGGCCGTGATATCCTGCCTGCCCTATTTCTCTCGCTTACAGGGAACTTGATAGTCGTTTCTCGTGCAGAACCCGGCAAGGCACGCTTGCTCTGCTGAAGTGCGCTCCTCACAGTCCATCGGAGGCTGTCAGAGCGGAAGTGTTTTCTTCCGTTGGCTGGTGCTTTTCGGTTTCCTTACCCGGCTGCCGATTCTAGCGTTATATTCCAACTTTCCGGGATAGCGTATTGTGATGAGGGTAAGGCACTTACGAGATCCCGTTCCCCAGAGCTCACGGGAAACAGTATCCCTTGTGGTGTCTGAAACGTAAAA